ATACCGTGAAGCATTCCATATATCTTTATGTAAATGTATCGATATTTCTTACTTTGCGTAAGGTAGACGTTCCCGAAAGAAGCGATGCGAATGTCATTATCATTTGGTAACAATGAAACTGCTTTGCTTGAATCCAAGCATGAAATTCTTTGCTAAGTATTTATTATTGTCTATCACTTTCACTATGCTATTAATAAATATGCCGCATTCTTTCTCACTTTGCAATTCATGGAATGTGAGTCCTAGGTATGCGAACCTACATTTACATTATTCATAAATTCTTTCACCCTTGTGACATATCGTCGAAAATTTCCCTCAATGTCCTGCGTAACGACTTTAATAGTAATAAATAATAATAATAATAATAATAATAATAATAATAATGTAGAAAAAGATTCCAAACTAAACACATCATGTGTAATTTGGGGTGAACTAGTTCAACAGAAATGGACATTAGGTTAAATGTTTCTCCCAAAAGTGCAATGCGAAAAATATTGGTAATTATCTGTATATAAATTGAAGCATTACTATAATATAAATATAATATAAAAATATTTCTGCATAATAATTGAATAATGCAAATAATAATATAATTATAATTATGAAATAGTTGTTCAAGAAACCGATTCTTCAATATTATTTTGTTCATAAAATTCTGTACGGTTTCCGATAATAAAAAAGTACATTTCTCATTATCCGTCAACTTACTGTAGCAATCAAGTTACAATGAATTACGATAATATATTATGAAGTTAAAAGAACAGATCTTTTACATTTTTGTTTTTAACCAAAAACCGGATTTGAAGTTTTAACATTCAGATTTTATTCTCTGCAAACTGTTGAGTGTTTAGTGTTAATATCTTTGTATGGCTATTATTTTTTTCATCAGAATTCAACATGGTTTACCAAGCCTTTACAAAGGTAAAAGAGAATTTGCTATTATAACTGTTATGTAAATCATTCCACGTACAAATTGTTCAAGATTATTAGTCGTTTTCGTAATTTTGAGTTTTATCTCGGGACGTAGTTTTCAACCGTTCTCGTATTTTTGCCACCATCATTGCAAGCAGAGATTTATTTTAATGGAATCATAGTCCCCAGATTTAATATATTTAAAATCATTTTGTATATGACGTTTTCGCAAATATCAGCGCCTTCTCGCAACTTTTTGAGGCGAAACGGGCATTTTAATTTAAATACGTGGATATTTTTGCATTAAAATATGGCTCAATTTTTTCTGTAAACCTTTGTGGTACGGATAGTGGCAAATGTCTAAATTACTTAATATCAAGCGGTCAACTTATTAAAAGATTTTGGGCTTTTTCTAAAAATAGACAAATTATTTTTTTTTACTTATAATCTCACTTAGTTAATATTTTTCATTACATTTGTTTTTTTTTTTTATAATTCTAATGAATGTGTGAAAAAAAATTAATAATGTCTTGTACAGTTAATCAAAATCTCAAAGTTTTTCGCGTTGAAGTGATTGTTTATTCTGTGTTTTGCGGGTTGCGTGCACTTCGACTGTGCAGTGCATGTCGTGGCGGTGCGATGGCGACGTCCTTCCCGGGTGGATGGCGGTAAAGATCCGCCGCCCACGGTTACTCGTCTCAGCAGGTATCTCCATTGCGGGACGTCGCCCACCAGCGAGCAAGCTCTCGGCTAATATCCCGGGAGAAGACGCATCCTAAGTAATAGGTGCCAACTGGCGACCATTCCTCTGAGCGAATGTAAGAAAGGTCGCAAATTGTGGGCGGAAAACGATGGCACTATGCCTAGGTCGTGCATCTCCTAGACCGACTTCCGCCGGCGGAAGACTATGCTCTCAACCGCCAAGCTCTCGCATACGTGGTAGTGTAGTAAAGTGTGTGTGTGTGTGTGTGTGTGTGTGTGGTGTGGTGTGTGTGGTGCAACAGGGGTGAAAGATATGACAAGGAAGGTGAAGGATGGCGACGTAACGTGGCTCGTTTATCTTGTGTGCGTTCCAACATTCGTCCGGTATTGATTGAAGAAGCCACGGAAAACAGCCGCTAACATTCTCGCTCAGACAGGAATGAATTCTGCATAGCTATCTAGAGGAGTGATAAAATCCGCCGCCCCGTTGCAGCCTCGAGTCTGTGACTCAACAACGGCTCTAGCCGGCACAGCTGTGGATTTCAGTTAATGCCTTTAAGCCACTGACGGGTCCACACTTTTTTGAATATATCCTTAGCTCAAAATTATTCTTTTTCAGAAAACCCAAACGAATTTTCCAAGAAGACCAAAACCCAGTTTCTCTCTAAATTGTCCACATAAAAATATTTTTAAAGATTTATTTTTCAAAATTACCTACAAATCTCATTTTTTAGGAATCGAAAAAATCAGAAGTTGTGGAAACACAAATATCATATTATGCTCTTCAATAATCTCATAAAATTATTACAGGAAAGAAACTAAAACATCCAATCTATCAATATATTTTAACATCTTTGTTAAAGTTATTTAATTTTGAGAAGGTGTTTAATGTTGAGTGTGATGTTTATTATTTTTACTTTCTTCCACGTACTATGTAGAAGAGAAGCTAATGTAACCATGGCGTCGTAAACGGCGAATTGTTGAACACACAATCCTCTTAACTCTAGTCATGGTAACGAAAAAGTGGATAAATGCCAGTTGCTAAAAATAAAAAGTGATAAATATAAAACGTTTTGGTAGAGTAACTCTACTTTTTCTCGTACAGTAAGATTACCTTCACAGATATTTTACAACAGAAACAATATCATGTTCTTCAATATTAACTTTAGTTGGCGAACGTTTCACTGTAGGATCCCCTCAACCTTCGGAATAGCAGAGAATTCTTATGCGATTTATTTGGTGTTCTAGTGCTACAAAAATTAGATGATGGGATTTTAAGACAGAACGTAATGATTATGATTAGTGACTTAAGCGAATGATTGATGGATATAAGTTATTTTTCAGGGAGTATGAATATATCTCATAAAGCAGGCAGCTAAGTTTAATTAGCAGAAAACATGATGGGCGGTTTAGAAGTTTCGGAGTAAACCGCTTTCTGAGACAGTCTGTGGGTGCGATCCCCCCCCCCCCCCCGCGAGAGATGTACCTCCTTGTGGCTTGCCCGCCGCCCGCACACAATCGTCATTCTCCCTTTTCGGTAGAAGCGTACAGTGTCTGGGGAGAAGAAGGGCCGCTGGTTGCCAAGGCTTCTCACCACGGCTTGTACTACACATCATCCCTTTAAACCGAAACAAAGGGGCATACATTACAATTGATGTGTAATAACAAAGAACACAAATACTTTCAATAAATTAACGTTTTGTGTTTTATTTAGATGTTAAATATACCATATTCGTTAAGGATAAGGAATCAATTATAAGATTACATTTTTTACAGTTATATGATTACATACACACACGAACTTAATAAACTACTTAAACGCATTTAACTTCTTAGCGTTTGGCTAGTGTTGCAAGTTCAAATTTGTTTCATACGTTTTTGCTCCCTGTATGTAATTCTTTTGTCGAATACTGCATAATACTCAGAGTCCATGTTCTGTTGAGTTTTGTAATATGTGGTTATTCCGTAATTCATCCGTTCGTCTATTTAAACAACACTTGTGCCTAAACGTAGACACATTTTCTGCACTAAATTGAATTCCCAATCAAGCTGGGATCTGTTTGGAGTCCTTTGTATTTGAAACAGATATTTTAATTTCTCTGGTCCGATACATATTAAATTTTCAAAAATTATCTTAACAGCACTCCAAATTCTTCCTGTAAAATATGTTACTCGAATATGCTCCCATAGAACGCATAAAAATATGCACAGGTCAGATTTGCATTCAATCATTTACATTTTTCGTTTGAAAACGTTAAACATTTTTTTCGACGACCCCTTTCTCTAACTGGCAGTACTCAGAATGAGACTTTCACATTTTTGTATACGGTAAATGTATTATACGGAGTAATATGGCGTACTATGAGAAAAAGTTTATGTAATTCCGCGAAAAATCGATATCACCATTTAGCTGAACTATATGTTTTTGTGGTCCCCTGAATTCCAATTAAAGTATTGGTTCTTTTTTTTCAAAAGTCCGTCCGTCATCTACGCATTTTTTTCGAAACATTAGCTAGTTTTTTTAAACGAGATTTTTGAGGAAATTATGGACAATATTAAAAACAATAATTTTTTTTTCAAAACAAGTTTCCTTTTTTTAAAAAGTTGTATGGGGAAACTAAAAGTATTTAACATGAAAAAACGGCTGTTTTGATGATTATCTTAATTTTCATAATTGCGGGCTGAACCTGCGACTAGCTATCTAGCTAGTGACCGAAAATGCCTGTCACGGGACAGGACTCGAACCTAGGTTTTCTCCGGTCAGAGGCACTGCAGTGGCATCAATTTAATGCCCTGAGCCACTAAGCGCGTCTTACTCGCAGTATGGTCAAATGCGACGGCTTCGCTTGTCGGGGCTTGTGACAGGTGCGTCCAAGTATAGGGACACCTAAGACTGTATGTTAGAACCGCGCTGGAGGCAATCTTAATGTTTTTGTGTTGTGTTTCTGGCGTGGAGAACATTCTCTTGACTTTCCGTGTACCACATAATAACAAATAACCCTTCATAATATCTCCGATTGACAAGGAAACTGTGTGTTTTATATGGAATCTGCCTGAGTAAATGAGAAATCGGATTCAACACACCAGGCACCGAGATCAGGCTGTGGCTCGCTTATGCATGTTATAGAATAGGGCGAGGACAGGTAAAGTCCAAAGAAAATAAGTCGGCAAGATTTGTGAAGGGCGCGAGCGACCCCTTTCACTGAGAATTGTTCTGAGAAAGCGGCGGTACGCACAGAAGTCTGCGATACGCCTTTTAGACGCCGATAGATAGCAGCACGGTTGTCACGATAAATAATAAAATAAGTATACGAGAAAGTTCGCTCTATTTAGTAGCACTACTTTAACTTTATTTCGTTTTGCCTTATCCCTAATCTATATTGCAGGTGGTTTCTGGACAGATCCTGCTAATCCAGCGATGTCTGAGGACCAAGCTTGGGTTCTTTGTTCCGCCATAAAAATATTTATAACGAATGAATTAATATTCCTGGCCCAAGCCTTCCTCTTGGAAGCACTTGGCTTGGCTTTGGCGTGACAGGCGGAGCCCACCGACTCTGGACGCATCGCTCTATAAGGCAAACTGCTCTAGCGTATCATGCATGATGATTGGGCAGGTCTAGCTGGCATGGTAAGTCATGCAATATTCAACGGGATTTGCTTCCGCATGGAAGATTATTGAATTTCACACAATTGGTTGAAAATACTAAATTGGTGTTTGACAATATGTGTATAGATGAGAAGTTTCATTGATTACAGACGGCATGCAAAACTACATAAGTTGTTAGACTTCAAGATTTGAAACATGTTTTTTTTTGTGTATGTCGACACCGGGCTAAATCTGAATCGAAGCCAGAAATGTGCTCTTCAACCATCCCCAGATTTTTTCAAACCTGCTAAAAAACACGTGAAATTGGTATTTTTTTGTTTTTGAGATTGTTGTCATCCCTAAGACTTGAACACGTGTTATTTTGTGTAATGTCAAGGAGGTGAATCCGAATCTGAAGACACAATGCGCCACAACCTCCAGGTTTTTTTAGGTCGCGAAAAACAAACGGGTACAATTGACATTTCAGCTTGTGTTTTCCGGCGATGAGTCAAATCTTTGGATCTGACAATTCATTTTGTGTAGCTTGTGTTTATCAGGTAGATTTTAAGAAAGAAAAATTAATTATTTAAAAAAGAACAAGAAATCTCTCATTATCAGAAAGTAGCAGAAGGGAGAGATAAGAGAAAAATATAACTGGAAAGCTTTTACTGATTGTTCATTACAAACATTGTGTTCAGTCTGAATCATATCTCAAATGTTAAAATTACGCTCACACTCAAGGGACCTGTTCAATAGACTTTTAATTATTTTTCTGGCGGAGGCTAAGTAAATTAGTTGGAAATGATTAGTTTCCTTCCTTTTCTATTGTAAATTTTTTCGCAAAATGATTTAATTTTGCAGTCATTTTTTTTCATTGTTCCTGATAATTGTGGTTTCAGTGGCACGACTTAAGATTTTTGGAATTTTTGCTAGTATCAACTGTATTTCTTTTTGATTTTGGTTCTGATTAGATTAAAGTGTCAATTTTTTTTTTCCTAAAAAAAAGGAATATGACAATAAAATCACATTAATTAAAAATACAGGTATCAGTACATTCTTATTCGGGATGATGAGTGAAATAAAATGAGTTATTTTCACATCCTATTTCTGAACGAATATTACAAATATTACATGATTCCAACTCTTTTCTATGCAAGATACGAACATTCGCTAATTCTTCACAATCTCCAAGCCTCGCTCCATGTTTTCAGGCACTGCTCCCACAATAGAGCATCTAGGAATAACGCGATTGTGGTGAAATTTTTTAGCCAAAAAAACATTTGAAATACTAAAATTCTACAACATGTGCTCAATATTGAAATCTCGTATTTATTTACACTCATTTTCCATTAAACAGGAAATGTTTTTAATATCATTGCAATACCGATCAGCTCAAACTGAGCAGTAATGACCGATGGATGAATATCTGCTGCCGAAATTGCTTCGCCATTAATGACGAGACACGAGGACCCGACAATGAAATAGTTCAAAAGGTTCTCTTAATACGTCGCGTGATTGTAGTTCTAACATCCTATTGAAGCCGCTGAAATGACAAGTGTGCTGACGCTGTGAAATTCTATTATCTTCATTTAAAGCGATGTCGCTCAGGCCACCAGATCTATATCTCTTATTTGCATTTCACAACAATGGAAATAATCACATGCAATCATCTGTCTATGAAATTCTTCGTGTTTGGTGTACGTGGTTTATCCTCGTACCTCAGAAAAACTCATTTTCGGGAATAAGTTATATCCACAATGTATGTTTTATATTCACAGGAGTAAAGCCAATTGGGAGCCTGGCAGTGACATGTTTTAGAAAAAGTAAATGGTGTTTCGAATATTAAACATAAGTTCTTAAGCTGTTAAGCATCAATATTTATAGCTTGTCTAAAGCTGAAATAGCAACAAATTATATATTTAGTAAACTGAAACCTATTAGTAAAATATTTAAATTTATGTTTAATAAATCAACCATTTTTTTCGCGTACCAAATTTTGGTTGGTAACTGCTTGAATATTACGGCGAGACTAGTAAGGATGTCCTCACAAGTTTCTGTTAGGAAGAGCTATTGGTGTCTGTTTGATGCAACATCGATGGATGGCGAACCGGTTTGGGTGAAACCTAACGTCCAGTACCACGAAAAAACGTTTCAAAGTCAGAATTATAAGTTTCATTTCTTCTCAGAATTTTGGCGAAGATCTACACTACAAGAGAAATACGGTTCGCCGAGACACGCTTTGACCTCTTTGGGCACACGGTTGTTAAATGTTCAATCTTTTCTTTGTGACAACAGAGTTGATTCCATGAAATATGGGCCCATATTAATAGGAATTTAATATTGACAAAATATCTTGAGTATAGTTCGCACAAATCTACTATTTTTTAATCTTGTGTAATGGTAATCATTTAAAAGCTAAGAGATCCAATAAAAAGATGAATATGTAAGCAGAAAAAGATGAAATTAATAATATTTCTCATCAATAATAAAATATCAGTTTACACATTTCGATATCGCAAACCACATTTCTAAGTTGCTATTTGCGCACACAAAGTGCTAGAATACACTTTGCTATTCTTTATTCTAGCTTCTTTAGGCTTCAGTATATCATTTGTTAAGCTTTATGGCGTGGTAATTACTACACGGTTAAAAATAAAAATACATTATCTATTCTGCATAAATGAAAATATTTATATGAACATTTATTTATTCGAATTATTATATAAATGAAAATTATTTATGATTGGCTGAATCCTGTTCCCTCGCCCCTGCTCTAATGCAGAGAAAATCCTTGGTATACCTTTTGCTAAATTTTTTGTATAAGATTTAAATTCCTGTTAGTTCTGTTATTGAACACTTATTTCAGAGAACAGTAAAAAGCACTATAACGAAGCCGAGTGTTATTTTAATTTTGCTAAGTGTCCGAGTTGCTGCTGCTTTTTTCTACGTATGACGCAACTGTCCGCCCACTCAACGTCGGGCACCCGACTTGAGTCGCTTTTCTAGGCGGGGTCAACAGCAATTCTCTGGCCACTGGGTGACGTGGCTTGAAGGCCAAATAGCGGAAACTTTTAAATACAGGAAGGATCTTCAATTCCGGTCTAGTGCATAAGATCTTGAACACAGACATATGGAAATTTTTGCATCAATAAGTTATGAAAGGAACATGTGTAATCTAATATAAAGAATTACTCTTAATCAAATTGCTAACGGTACGCGCCTCGGGCGGTTAGAAATCCAGTTACACGTAGTTTTTCGTGAGTATTTTTGTTAATTTTTGCTCTAATTGAACTTCAAAAATAGAAACTAGAGGCGCCTAAAACAGCTCATACTTTTCTCTCCCATAATAAAAGATTACGTAAATATTATTAATGAAACAGTTTTCTGTTTTATATCAACACATCGCAATCAAGGGCATCTGGAAAATATGCGCACAATGCGGATTTGGGCACTGGAACATTTGGGCGCATATTTTCTTACTCAAGTTTTAGCTAAAATCGCCACATATGGGATTGTTTTCAGTTTTCGTTGTTATGGTCTTATGAAAATCTTTATTAAGACGTTCTTATATAACAGTATTATTTCTTTCATATACATACAGTTATTTTTTCGCCGTTGTGTCGCAAGTGAATTATCAGTTTAATTTCTTTAAATTTTCATTGTTATTTTAAATGAAGACTACAACAAGCAAAACCATAATAATCTCTTCATAAATAATGCCTACAACAGAAAATTACACTGTTGCAGAGTCCCTGAAAGCAGTAAAGGAGAAAGCACGCGAAAACAATTCTTTTTGCTTGCCCACTTGCTTTCAAAAATTCCCAAACTCGTGCGTTACTTTTTTGAAAATTTAAAATAGTATAGCAATATTAACATTGAAAAAATACTATGGTGAAGTATTTTGGGTATTTCCAGCACATCATACAGACCAAGCAAAGGATAATTGCACAAAGAATTTGAACATCGCAGACTAAATGGCCATCCAATGTGGTCCAATATGAATGTTACTGAAACTACCGGAATATATTACCTCAGTACATACTCTATATATTTCTTCCCGACTTTACTTAAGTTAAATGACGCTTTTTATTTGAAATAGAGAACATTGGTAACTCAAATATTAATCGGTGCACTTCTCCTTACTTTAACATTTACGCTTATATAATATTGACGCTCTACAACGCGTCGGGCTTATTATATATTGAAACCCGCATCAAACGACAATCGGGAAATTTGAATTTCCCATTTCCAAATGTTTACTTTTCTCGCCCTAAAAGAAGGTACTTCTTAAGAAGAGAAAGTTATGTAATGCTATAAATGGCGTATTTTTTGGCAGAAAAAACTCTTAATCTGCTGGGAACGCTGGGTAAATGAACAGTGAATAAATCCAGTTGGCAATGTAGGAAAAAATCCGATACGCTTGGTTTGTCGTCAAAATCCCGATTTCTGGGTCCTTTGATACCAAATCGAATAATTGCAAAATCGTCCTGTCTGTCCATGCCAGCCGTCTATCCGTTTGTTTGTGACCAACGCTAGCGCTTTAAACTATTCAGCCGAATTTTCTTCTCCAAATTGAAATATTTCCCAGTTGATCTGGTCTGATTGTTGCGGCCCTTGAAGTTGCGTGGGTTTTAAAAACACAGACAAAGCGGAAGGGTTTTGACGTGCCAAAAATTGTCAGCATTCAATGTCACATACTTGTCGCATATAAAAAGGATTCCAGAAAAGATTACTTGGCCGATTCCTGGCAAAAAATTAAATCTCCAGCAATTTTAGCACCAATCAGAGTTTTTGATTTAAAATTACGGATAAGATTGATGATATTGTATGTTTGGGGCTGCGCTATCTGGTATTAAAATTATAACGTCAAAATTGGCGCACTAAGCGCCCTAAGGTCTAAGCAACGTCAAATTACTCTAGGTATACTTGACTCAGGATAAATGTCTCACACAAAGGAGGAGTAGGAAGCTTCTGTTAGAACTTAGCCTACACATTAATCAGTGTATAAGTATTAAAAAAAGAAATACTGTAGGTTTTAATTTTTATGGTTAGTTTTATTTTTAAAAGTAAGAAATCACTACTCTTCTTAAATAAATGCACATAAGCACGAGATGCCGATTTGTTTGAATTAGAACATTTAAAAAATTTATAACTGAGTTTTTAGTAATGGCAGAAAATTACAATATTTTTAATATTACGTAAGTATTTCAATTCACCCGAGAAAGTATGTACCTGTTTGTCGCACCTCTAGTGTTTTAACTTTCTCGCTTTCGCTGTTAAGAGGAGTTAGGTAATGCTGCGCAAAAAAACGCGAATTTTCAGTCAGAAAAAAAAGTATTGCACTGGCAACAGGAAAAAGATGTTAAAATTTAGAAAAAAAATTCAAACCCGTGTTGAAGCCAAATCTATGTTTCGTAATGTCCTTGATACCGAAAAAGCGATTTGACAGGCGAAATTTGTATATTCGTATGTCCGTCCCGTACCGTCTGCGCACAACGTAGCTTGCGAACCGATTCGCCGATTTTCCGCCAAAAAATTTGGGGGTGAATTAATTTTTTTCCCCCCAAAAAAAATTTCCCCGGGAAATTTTTTTTGCCCTTGAAATGTCGCGGCCCTATGAATTCTGCACATTTTCACGTATCCGTATTTCAACAAATATGATGCCTGCACTATAATCTTAAGAGTCTTTTGGGCGCTATTTGAAGGGCAAAGCGTGGCGGCGATGTTGTAACGGTTAAGCTATCGGAACTGTTATAGCCAGTTGGCGGGGTTCAAGCCGATCGAAGCCGTGTATTTTTGCGTACGCTTTCCTTCGGAGGGAAGTAAAGCCGTTTCTTCCCCATGTTAGTAGATTACTTGCATGTAAGTATCTCAGTCTAAATAACGCCTCTGAGATAAATTCAAATCGCCTGTTTCATCGCCTAAGAAAGACCTCCTTCCTTCGCTGTGTGAAGGAGCGTAGGCGGAATTTGCGTGGGCCAGACGGCACAGCGGACGTGATGGCGCGAAAGTCTCGCCACGTGGAAATAAGGTTATCAATTCAAAATTTAATTGAAAAGTTTGTTGTCGCTTTGAGAAAAAAATGTTTAAACAAACTTAAAAACTGCTTGTAATGACGCGAAATACCTCAAATTTTCGAAAATTGTTCCATGAGCTTATTTCAAATTTTTCTAATAAATAACAGACTTCATTAAGAAAGAAAATCTCTATCTTCAAAATTTTAGTTGTAGGAGAAAGCGGCGAAAATTTTTTTAAATTTTTTTAAATGTTTGCCAAATCCTTGATTTCAACACAAAATGAGACGTGAACGCATTCTATTAAGCGTTTCATTACGGAGGAGTTTGATAAATAACAATTTTGTCAATTAGTAACTCAAATTACATGCACTGTTTTTATTCTTTATGATTTTATCGAAACACTTAACAGTCTCCTCTTAATGGTGCCCTTTCGCGCAAAATAAACTCGAAAGGATATAGCAAGCATTTAACACTACTCGCATAAGGCTTCTGGTAGAATCAAGTTCGCTAAGTGTCATAAAACATTCGTATTGAATTAAACTTGTGGACTAGTCCTCTTATGCTAGCGCAACGCCTTTAAATTACAGTCATTAGAAGACACGCACTCTGTAAACACATAATTAACGCATTCGTCGCGTATTACACTCACTACCCTCTTTTATCAGAAGGTTCATTTCAGACACGAAAGACATCTAGATCTAGGAGAGAACATGTGTAAAATGCAATGACGTATAAAACGCGAGAAACTGGTGGTGCTGCTGCGTTTTCCTCGCATTATTTGTAACGGATACGTAATATGTGCAACCTGGGTAAATTCTTTAGCCATCTCGAGAAACCTTGTAGGCAAAAACCTCCTTTCTGGGAAGCGCTTACATTTAATTTAACATAATTTTTATTTAGTTTTCGCCGATCATTTTACCCTGATTTATGTTGTGGAACTGGGCAATTCATCTAATTTTCCTATTGCCATGCAGTTAATTTAGGTAATGAAAATAAGTGGTGTATAATTAAATAGGAACTTCAATTTTTGCTCTCTTTCTGTTTTCCTGAACATGATCAATTTTTTTAAACATTTGGACAAGCAAAAATATCAAAGAAGAATTTATTTGCTTGATTTGTGAAAAAGATATTCTTCTGTTAAGTGAAAATTATATTAATTTCACCTCAACCGAGGGTACTTTTTGAATCTATTGCTGATAACGTGAGCCAGGGAGCACATTAAGCAGCTTATTTTGGCTGTTGAGAATAATTATGTAATGTTTCGAAACATTTGGAAACAGTTAGCAGCCATGAAAGAGTCATGTTTTAAGCAAATCATATTAATTTACATTTCAAATTACATTTTATAATAATTGAAACACAAGTCACTTCCTTTCCCGTAATATTAATAGTATTGTAATATAATTTGCAAAGTTGCCTATTGGACTGTAATGTTAGTATGTAACTAGAAAGAGAGAAAACTTATGCCAATTTTGTCATTGAATATGCTGACGAGTTTTTTTTTTATAAGAGAATATTCAGAGATGCAATGAGACATTTTTAAAGTGCAAAGTACAAATCAACGATTAATGTTTTTACTAAATCCGAGAGAGTACTTTTCTCCATGAAGCTGGATATTTTTACACCGATCACATCATTCACATTAAATTCAACTAACCATTTCAAGTTTAATTCGCCTTTTGGTCCGTTTTTATATCGTATATAATTAACTGATCCTCAATATGAAATTGGTGTATGTGACTGTTTTCAAATGTACCGGTGAAGGTGGCTCGGGTATCAAACTAATGTTCAGTCGCAATGACTCTGACCGAAGAGGTCCTAGGGTCCCGAGTACCGACACTAGCTTGTCCAGCTAGGACGAATTTAGTCGCTGCCTCGCGGGAATTCTAGCGGCAGCTGCTTTGATCGTCAGCTTTTTCTCGTTGGTTTTCCCAGATCAACACCCTGCACAAACGCGCCACGGACCGGACGCGCCGATCTTTCCTTCGCTCCTGCTGCGTCCTTTCTCACCCCTTACTTACGTCATTACAGTTCTTTATATGTTGGGCAGACCCAGTTTGGAGCGGTTAGAGCTTGGTAACGGCTGAGGCGGGGTGCCCCGCTGAACGGAGGTACCTGGTTGGGGGAAATCCCCGTAAGTCCGACGTAGGTCGGCCGATCTCGCCTACAGTAGACCAGATCGCCGCCACCTGCCCGCGGATAAAAGCATGCAACACTTACGGGAGCAGTGACCTTAACAGTTTGGCGCACCGGAATCGCTAATAATCACCTAATGTGCTGTTGGCTGATTTGCAGAACAGCATCTTCGGACTGGGTGCGCGACCACCGGGTGCACCACATTCAGTGAGACGACGCCGACGCCGCCAACGCGCGGCGGGCGGCGGCTTTCTTCTTCTCGCACTGGGCTGGCTCATGGTGAAGAGCAAACCCGGAGGTGGTGCGGGCGCCGGCCAGACGTCGAACATGAGCGACGTCCTCAGGCCGATCCCGTGGTCAGTTCCAAAGGAAGTAAGTACCGCACCCGCTTCCATCTTTTCATGTGCCACGCTTCGTTTCATCGGTTTCCAGCCGCCAGTAATTATTGCCGCAGACCCTGCAGGATTCTCACCACGAGGTCCTAGGGTTTTCGCGATCCGGCGGTGTTCTGGAAGTTTTTAGCCTCAGCTATAAGCTGCGTTGAATTCCAGCCGTCGACGGGAGGGAGGAATGTCAATGGACGGCTGCTCTGATCGGGCTAGTTTTTCCGTGGTTTCTCCCATTCAATGTGAGGTGAATACTGGGATGCGATCCCTAACAAATGGACACCGCCGCTATCTTTTCTCCCTCTTCCTTGTTCAATTATTTTCCCTCACACACATATACGCGCTCACTACCCATATACGGGGATCTTGGAAGGCTTCTCCCGTCTGGGCAGTGGCGGCTGCTTGGGGCAAATACCTGAAAGATGAGGCTGATGTGTTATCACAGGTCTACACATCTACAACACAAATTATGAAGATGAAACACTTTTTTCTTCTATGGCAATGTGTTCAGCAGGAGCAAAATCGATCATCCATTCCTCCAGAATTTTAACGTCATGTTAAAGTTTTGGAAGAGGATTAGTATTGTTTTAGTTATTTGTGTCTAACGAAGTCGCCTGCTCCGGGCCCTCGGTGCTTCGGAAAGGTAATTTTAGGAAGTGTTTGGATGTTACGTAGTTACATTTGTTATTATTTTTATTTTTGATCGTCTCTCTCTTTTCGAGGTTTAGAAATTAATCGTTTAGAAATTATGATTTTTCAGAATTAATTTAAAACCCTATTGAAATAGTATATAAATATAAAATTGCTAGCCCTTTAGGGAATATCAAATGGAATGCAAATGGCTTTCCGCGTCGTGTCTCGCGAATTTTCCTGTGAATTACGTCTCACTTGTTGTAACATGATTTAGCTTGTATAAAAAGCAGTTAATTTGTCAAATTTGTGATGATATTTTCTTGGAATCTTTTTGTTTTTACCAAATTTCCACTATTGTAATGCGTTTTTTTAACAAAAATGAAAACTGAGCATGCGTTTCATTCGGAGGTAAATTAAGGTATAAATAGTTTTACATTAATATTACTAAAGGGCAAGAAAATATGTGCTGTTAAATCACCACCAGTTTATAATATAGACCAGTTCTATGGGCATTCGTTTTGCTGTTTAGTATTGAACACTATCGTTAATCTCCTCACTTTCGAGATATTATTCATCAAAACTTGTCAACATCATTTAAATTGACCGTGTTAGTAAGTTTCCAAGGAGGGAACAATCCTTCCCTTACTCTTCTCCCCCCACTAAAACTTGCCTACGTCTCCCAAAGAGCGGTAAATGCACTTTCTCTGCCACATCAGAGAGGTCGTCTTTGACGGCGGACATTGATTATCCATGACAAGGTGGCTCATTCTCATTCCACAAAAAAAATGTTTAAAAAGTAGTGGCAATGTTTTCTGACTTTAATGTGGTTACAACAAGCCCTTATCATGGATAGACTATAAACACCAATATTTTATATTCATCAGGTGAGTCTTTGACGGTATGAGTAGCAGAATTTTCAAACTTTTTAAAATAATTGATTAATTAATTTTAATTGATTTTAACGTGCTAAAATCAGTCTTTTTAAACATTATTGCAAACAATCTGAAAATGTCTTGCCAATGTTCTTGCACAACTACTGTAAGTGATGTGGTTGGTTGTAACTACTGCTAATATGCAACTAGTATATGCTGTGGAAGCCATAAGTATTTCATAAACCCTATATGTGTCATGTTCTTGGTAATGCAATATGTGTCTGCAAATTATTGGTAGCCAAGGATAAATTATCACAAGTGAAAAGTTAAACAAAACATCTATAAAAACACTTTAACTGTCGCCTAATGATTCTGGTTGATGCAACAAGAAATCAATTAATTATAAGTATTGAAGAAATCGACATATAATAATGAACGTCGAAGTAAACACTAAATGTTATACATGCGTTTTTTATGGAATTCATTTCTGACCGTTTACTTTAAAAAATATAATTGTCAATAATCACTTTAATAGTAGTAGTAGTAAAGGAAAAGAAAATTGCTGCTTTAGTTTTTTTTCATTAAATATAAATGATGTCTTTTGATAATTTTTTGTTCAGTCAGAAGTAGTATATTTGATATTTTCTTATTATTCCGTTTCCTAAATTGCTTTCAAAGGTGTCCTATTATATAATATTATCTTTAGAAGTGCAGAATTGAATAGGAAATTAGAATCGAATAATACTACAAATATCGTATTAAATACTCCAGAAGCTTCAGATGTTGAAAATTTGTCAGGGGCTTAATGAGTTGACACTCCTGCTCAATCAGTTATTTTTTTGCATAGGCATCACCTCAAGATGTTCTACGGTTGCTCTGGCTTCTTAATACGCAACTGTGGTGCCTGTTTATTTTTCTGGAACGAGGACTGGATGGCTTCTTTCTGCGCGTGCATGGCGAAGATGGGTAATGCGGAGTGTCCAATTTCGTGTGGAGTGTGAACAGCGCGGCTCAATCTCTACGGAGGACATCCTTTCCAACAAGTGAGTACTGCTGTTGTTGAATCCGCCTTGAAAGAGTCAACACCGAATAACTCAATAAATAAACAAAAATACAGGGATGGACCTTGGAAACAATCATTAAATACAAACGAAATTCATAAGTTTTGATTTAGAATGTTTTTATTCCATAACCATACGGAATAAAATAAATCTATGTATTAAGCAAATTAAAGCCAAAGCTAAGAATCTTAAGCTTTGGTTTCTTACTGTCTTTTTTTGAATGACTTAGTCTAAAAGCAGTTATTACTGCTATTGTGATTTGAAAAATTAATCTGAGAACTGTAAGAACAACATTCCATCTCATATAATAATCATATAATAATAATATAATAATAATAATAATAATAATATAATATAATAGTAAGAAGAAAGAAGAAGACCAAATAAGCATAATGCGGATCCAAATAGCCGGAGATCGCCAAGGCACTAATGCGTAGTGGTCTTGGACGGAAAGGATGTGGAGACCTGCCTGCGGGCAATGGTTGTATTTGTGTCTGTAATGGTTTGTGATTGTCGTTTTCTCATCATCCCAGGGCTAACAACCCGGGTGTAAAAACAGATTCAGGTATGATAATGGCTAATGCTCCCTATAAAAGTCAGGCAACCTACTCTCGATAAAAAAATTAAAAATTCATGGTTACCTGAGTTATTCATAATGCTTATCATAATAGTAAATATTAGTCAAGACAAAAGTCATTGAATAATGTGGAAAAGTATATAATTTCACACTGGAATGGACATTAAATGCTAGAAAATATAAAATGAATACATCTATAAAAACTAAAACTTGAATGTGTATTGAACTTTTGACGGCTTCAGTGACATAAGTTTGCTGCTCTGGCAAAGGTATCAAAACCGCTACACAGCTGCAAAAATTCCCACGAGACCAGAACCTTCGATGCTCTGAATGAGCATTCCTGATTCGCGAGTGGAGGTGCCTTGGAACCCATACAAGTGTTTCTTGAACTGGCAAATTGTGAAAATTATTTTAACACGCGCTATGTAAATTGTTATATTTTTTTCATTTAAAAAATCTGGAAAAAGTAAAATAATGAGATAATAGAGGAGCAACGTCTGGACATCTAAACCATAATTAACAAATATATGTATT